CCACCTGACTGATGGAAAGATGTTGTAGCTGCTCCAAGGTCCTGTTTCAGCCCGTATGGATTGATTTGTTAGCAGCTCCAGGTACTGGGGAGGCTCGTGTCCCTGTAGCTCCCAGGGGAAGGGAGTCATATCAGCTCCACGCTTGTAAGGGTGATTTACAGCTTTATAGAAGGAAAAAAAAAAAAAAAAAACAACACCAAAAAACACACTTTCAGCGAGCAAAGTCTGGAAGGAAATGTCAGCATGGCAATATATCTCTGACCTGGGCTTCTGCTGCAGTCTTCCTCATAGAACCACAGAATCTGCTGAGCTGGGAGGGACCAGCCCAGCCCTCAGCCCTGCACAGGCCCAGCGCCAGGAGCCCCACCCTGTGCCCCAGAGGATCATCCAAACCCTCCTGCAGCTCTGGCAGCCTTGGGGCTGTGCCCACTGCCCTGGGGAGCCTGGTCAGTGCCAACCACCCTCTGGGGGAAGAACCTTGCCCTGAGATCCACCCTGAGCCTGCCCTGACACAGCTCCAGCCATTCCCTGGGTCCTGTCCCTGCTCCCCCCAGAGCAGAGCTCAGTCCTGCCCCTCCTCTGCCCCTGCCCAGGCAGTTGGAACTGCACTGAGCTCTCCCCTCAGTCTCCTCTGCTCCAGCTGAACACACCAAGTGCCCTCAGTGTCCTTACACGGCTCCAAATCTAGGCCCTTCCCCATCTTTGTTACACTCTGGCTTAACATCTTTCTCATATTGTGGTGCCCAAAACTGCCCCAAGATTCCAGGTGAGGCCTCCCCAGTGCAGAGCAGAGCGGGACAATCCCCTCCCTTGACCAGCTGATGCCCCCCAGCCGAGGGGTTCCGGCAGGGAACCATCGCAGGGGCTGGACTGTCGAAGGGTGAGGACCTGTGGGTCCCCCTCAGATCTCGAAAGGGGAGATGCTCCCCGTCATCCTGGCCCCGAGGAGCATCCAGGACTGCGTTTGTGCTGGCTGCAGATGGCTCACAGGCTGCGTGCTGCCGATAAGTGCCACCACGCTCCCCGCTAAAAGGCGTCTGCATAATGCATGTGCGCCCCGACTGCTGCATTCGCCTCCCCGGTTTGTGCCACTCTTGAGTCACTGATATCACAGCTGCCTAATTAGAACATGAAAGGATCTCACACAGCCTCCCTGACAGAACGAGGGGTAATATTTGGCTTCAGCTTTGCCGTGTGGGGAAGGAACACACACACACACACACAGAGCTCCTTCCCAGCCCCTTCTGGGTGTCTCTCTCTCCACAGCTGCTCTGTGGTGCTGTTGTCAGACCTGACACCTCTGCTTCTTGGAGGTGGTGTTGCCTTGGATGCTCCAGCCTGGCTGGCATCCCAGGGTTTCAGCATCCCTCTGCTCCAGGGGCCTCTCTCAGCAGAGGCTGAAAGGGCTGACAGGCACTGGAAGAGGCTGGTGGAGTCCTCATCCCTCTGGGGGTGTCCAAGGAACAACTGGATGTGGCACTCCATGCTCTGGTCTGGTTGACAAGCTGGTGTCGGGTCACAGGTTGTATTTGCTGACCTTGGAGGTCTTTTCCAACCCGAGTGATTCTGTGACTCTAAAACTCGAGGAGACAAACAGGAAAGGGAGCAGCTTTGAGGGAGCTTAGGGTAGAACATCTGCAGGCAGATGTTCAGCAGTCAGTGTGCTCCAGCTCAGACTGTGAGCTCACTCGCTCCGAGGGTCATGGCTACACCTGGATTCATGGCACAAATCCACCTGGATTCCTGGGCCACCCCTGCTCTGCCAAGACGTTGTTTAGCAGCACACCTTGTCAGGAAATCAAACCTAACTGGGGTTTAAAAAGTGCCGGCAGCAATCAACACTTCCTGCCTGGTGCTCCCAATTGCTGTCTGGCGGGTGGAGGAGCAGGTGAGGATTGGTTTCAGCTGCATTTCTGAGCAGCACCTCTCAGCTTCTTTTTACCAGCCTCACAGAGCTGCTGTTTGAGCAATCAGGCTCAGAGGGAAGGTGGCAGATTATTCCCCTTGGTGCTCAGGGTTGTTCAGAGAGCACAGGATGCTGTAAGTGGCTAAAGAATGATTGAATTCTCCTGCAAGAGTAAAACAAGCAGGGGGGAAAAAATGACCAGGAACTGCCATTGCCAACATTCAGGTCAGATTCCCTAAAGCTGAAAAAAAAAAAAAAAAAAAAAAAGAACTTAAAAGTAGTGCTTTTCCAGGGTTACATTGAGGTGGTTCTTTTTATTTACTGAGCTGCTTTTGAGCTCTCTCCGTGGTTCTCATGTTTGGTTTTTGCAGCATGGGAAGGGGAGCCTGAGATCCAGCGTGTGGTCACTTGGCTTCAGGGGCTTTGAAACCCTCCTTGGGAAGACTGAAGGATTTGTGACATGAGGAAAGTCACAGAGATCCGTGGCAGCACAGCCCAAAGGGGGTCCTACCGAGGGGTCAGGCTGTAAATCTCTCCCTGCCCCTCCAAACTCTGTCCCTAGTTCCCAGCATGTGTTTTCAGTGCACTGTGAGCCTTGGGCTGCTTGACTGTAAAATCCCTGTTTTCCAGGGGGATAAAAAAGGTCTGGAGCATATGGTGAAAACAAGGGCTGGGCAAGAACTCTGGCCAGCAGTGCCACCAGGGCAGTGCAGAGGTGTCTGCTCAGCACAGCCCTCAGTAATCAGCAATCAGGCAGGCAGGGATCTCTCCCTGCCCTGGAAAAGCAGAGCAGTCCTCTCTGGCAAAGCAGGAACTAGTCATATCTGGAACATCACCTGCTTGGTCATCCTTGTGGCCCCTGTTGCTTCCCTTCTCGAACCAAGAGCTCCTTCCACCCTGCGTTGGCTCTTCTTTGGCTGATCTTCCAGTGTGTAACTCTGAATTTGGGCTATTGCTGCCAGAACAACTGTGACATGGGCCCAGAACCCCCAAAAGGGAGGGTGAGACTGCACAGCTCAGCTGACAGCAGTGCCATCTCCAAAAAAAACCCTCATAGATGGATTGGAAAGGGACACCAGCCACAGGATTCATGTAGGAAGGTTACAGCAAGCTCAGGTATAACTGGCAGAGATTTAAGTCCTGCAGTGGTGCCAAATGCAAACAGGTTTGGACAGGATGCTCTGGGGGAGGAACAGATCTCTCCCTGAAACCTGCAGCAACAGTGTTGTGGTCACGGTGATGGAATTACATCCTCCTGTAAGATTTGATTCCCAGGAGACACATCCCTGCTTTCCAGAGGTGCTGCAGAGCTCCATGTCCATGGCACGCTGGCAGACACCGAGTGCTCCTTAAGCTTTCAAGTGCTTGGGGTGAATAAGGGCCACAGTAGAAAATTCAGATTTTACCCATGGAAACGTGCAAAAAGAAGCACTTGTAGCCAGTTCTGCTCCTCACAAGCTCTGTGCTGGCTGAGACTCCCCTCCTGCTGGCACAGAACTCAAGAAGTGCTGGGTGAGCACACCCAGCAGAGCACCAGGGAGGGCTGGAGACTCGGAGCTGAGCTGAGGTATCCAACCATGCATGAGTCAGCAGCCCTCCCACTCGCATAATTTGTCCATCCTTATTCCTAGGATCTTCCAGCCCTGCTGTCAAAGGAGAAGTGCCTTTGGCTTGCTCAGAGGAATGACCAGCTCTTAGCTGTGTCTCACAGTGCTCCAGCCAGCGAGGCAGAGCTGGGCACCTGCGGAACTTGGGCAGGTGATGCTCCTCGGAAAGGAACATCCAATCCACTGCAAGGGTCTTCCACACAGCATTCTTCTAAGTCAGTTCTACCCCTAATTTTATCTCCTCTTCTACAGCTTTGCCTGTCCCATAACCTGACAAGACTTCTCAGTCGCATTAAGGCTTGGCCGCCCCGTTGTGGGATCCCCTAAAAATGCCAAATATTTGGGCAACACACCTTGTCTCGCCATATCACCGCTGGAATTCAGGCACAGGCGTCCTCTACCGCAAGCTGCTGCCCCTTGTTGTGACCTCTCCCTGTGTCTTACCTTGTTCCTGGTGTTCCCTGTTGTGCAGCCACCTCCGTCCGGGCGTCAGTCCCCGACCAAGAGCGCGGCCA